ATGACTACAAACCGGTGACTTCAAGTCATTAGGCTATAGCCATCGACTAGATGTGGTTCTCTACACTACTTATATAAATACAACAACTTTTGGTCACCAAAAATTAAATCACTTGAATATTAATAGATCATATGATGTYAAGGTGACATCACCAACATCACTGATCAGACAGAAAAGCACTTCATGCTGCAGAAAACACATGACTCATGTCACATACACGCATGAAAAATACATCATAATCACATAATTACATCACACCTCAGACATCACTTCAAGTCATAGGTCTATAACTCTCGGCTAGAAAGCGCTATACCCACTACTTTTATAAGCACAGCAACTTTGTGTCACAAAAAATAAAATCACGTCMATACTAATGTATCATATGATGTTAGGCTGCTATCACATCGTCACTGATCAGACAGAAAGGCATTTCCTACCTGCAGAAAGCACGCGCTTTTGCATGATAAAGATGACTCATATCACACACACACACAAATATGACATCATAACCACATACTCATCAAAACCATATCAAATCATACGTCTATGACGCGGATAGAAGTGCTGTTCTTTAAAAAAAAAAAAAAAATTTGGGTGTAAAAAGAACAAAACAAAAAAATTCTCGCACAACTGGAGCTCAATTAATAAAGATCATATGAATAGGATATCAGCATTTGAGATAGCAGACATACACTTAAACGAAAAAAATGTGAGGATCACAAGAACGATCGTTGCTCACGTAGGAAGCAAAAGAAACGGCATCGAAGGAGGTAGTTTCCTTTTGAGAATTTTCGAAACAGGAGAACAAAGGAGGAAAATAATGGGTATGTCATATACTGACATACATGCATATGTATATATTAATGAGTTACATTGAGCTATTGTATGCTTAGAGCTAGTGTTCAAAATGTTAGCAGCTTCTCAACTACAACAGGAGATCACACAACTGCTCGTTTATGTTATTTTTGTATTCTTTGAAATCACTTTCAAGGCATGACCTTGCTTAATTATTTTTTCGCTTAGCAAACGACGAACGGCACAGAAGGACGTTAATTAGTAAAAGTCRTTTTAACAGAAGCTCAAAATTGAAGAAGGTGTTTCATTAAAAATACACAGAAATTCCTTCAAAGGTTCATCCTCAATGTTAGAGATCAGTATGATTATAAATACTAAACAATTAGTTCATATAATAATAATAATTAGTGCAAATGACGGCTTAGAAGTCAGATTAAATAACAGAGTTTGCTAATTAACAAAGGTCAAAAGAACAGGCGAACAGAATAAGACTTGGTAGAGCAAAGGAAACAGTCTTCAAAAAGGTCATGGAAACAGGATAGGATAGGATAGGATCTAAAAGAAGTACAAAAACACTAAAGAAAGGGGATGCAATGTAACAAAACATCACATAGAGACAGTTATCAAAAAGGTCATAGATCATCTGAATACATAACACAACACAAAAGAAAAGGAAGTACAATGTAACGAAAGATCACACGGATGGTCTTTTAACAAAGGACTACTAATTAAGGAGGTCAAAGTAGCAGGAGAGCATGAAAATTAAATGAGTGCCTTTAAATAGGAAAAACTAGGGAAATGAAACAAATATTGACAAAGGGAACTATGTCAGATGGATAATAAGAAAAGAGAGATAGGCTTGATTACAACAAAACGTCTAAAAAAAAAAACGCAAAACATAATGCAAGTCTTTGAACGCTATCAGGCAGAACTGCTTGAAAAACGGTGCAAAAACCAATGCTTCGGGATAAAACAGCATGCAATAGAAGGAGGAATCGGAGTACGAGGAAGACCAACCAAGAATTAAAATTAATTATTTTTTTTTTTTTTTACTTTTATTTTGCACTTTTCGTACATGCGTTTCTACATGCCTGTTACTTTCAGCTCGGCTAATTAATGCTTTGAGCAGAATATTTTTCTTAATTTCAATCTTTTGGATAATTACGGGTGCTATGGACCATTTTCAACTTTAAAACCTGCARAGGAGAAGAAGTGTTGTTTTTGTAGCCTTTTAGTGGAAAAAATTTCATAACTTCGAAGCTTGTTCTATAGATTCGAAGGCTTGTTCTATAGATATAAGTATTTATGGAAAGTGTATAATACTGTGTGAAAAGTCAATCTCTATAGAGCACAGTGCAGCTACTTTTGTTTCACATAAAATGTTTTAAGCATCGCTTTTAGAATACTGTCTTCACAGCTGCTAACCTATTCCAATGACCTTTGCTAATTAGACTCCCGCTGTGAAAACGATTTAGGATCTTTCTCGTGCAGAAATTGATTCTTGCAATAAAGAATGCATCTGTCATAGATTCTGCTGTCTCAGTTTTCATGGTAGCCTAAAACAAAATATGCTAAAGTAAAAAAATTTTGCTTGTTATATACCCATTGAGCCAGAAATGGGCTTAATCGTTAAACAAAATTTGGCTCGAAACCGTCGGATCCTCTTGGAACTTTTCAAGAGCTCATAAATCGAAGCGGTGTGGATTGGAAAAGTCGAGCCGCTTCTGCTTTCAGTTCTGTATTTTGTACGCTTTGAAYTTAAAATCTCGACGTAAAATGCACCAAGTCGTTCCATATGTCAGCCCGAGTTGCTGCTAACAGCGCCGAATCGACTCTTCACGACCTTTGTGTAAAATCTCAGCTATGGTTGCTTGTTGAATTTTCAAAATTTTATTCCTTCTACAACTAATTTTTTATTTATCTTGTTTTCAAAGAAATGTTTGTTTTGTGTTTACAAAGTAGGATTTAGAACAGGATCTCAGCCTAACTTGTAGCCAAGTTGTAGAAGGCCACCCGCAACGCTTTCAGATTATATTCATRTACATAAGTGTATATACTGTTAAGGTAAGACGATTTTTTTTATAATACATTCTATGGATTCAGCACACAATAAGAATCCAATTAGTAAAGGTCACTTTAATAGGTTAGCAGCGATTTCGTAGGGCTCCGTGAAATGTTCATGAAAATAAGAACAATACGATAAATACGGCGAAATTTCATAGAATGTTAGATCTATAGGCAATGCCTCACAAATATACCTAACACTATCCATWTAACGATGTCTTATTCGTAACAGAGTACATACAATTTAGGGCGATGACTTATCTCTTGTCACTTCTTCGAACTAGCTGCCATAAAGATCCTTAAAGCAGGAGCACAATTAGTTAAGGTCATATGAATAGGAAAACAGAAGTATAGCAAAAGTACCTTAGGCTAGTAACCTAATGAATATGAAATCACAGTCACAAAAGTTTGTTTGGTCAGCAAAAAGTTGGTATTTATTTTCCAATGTAAAAATATTGTAGTAGATGGCGAAAACTTACCTTATTTCTGCAATATGATAMAAGAAGATATTCTATTCCATTTAAAACACTTATCCTACCGGCAATATTTGTAAAGTTGATTGCACAGAGGAGTCAAATTACTTATTTTTCCGATTCTGTAAACACAAACATACAGCGTACAGCAATTCTACTAATAACAGCGGAGATTAAACGACAATCGATTATTGGTTTGAAAAATGCTATACATCTATTTATATAATTGAACACCTAATTCTCGTACTTTTATATAATATATATTATTTACAAATAATTAATTAATTAAGTATTAGTATGACTACGACTACGGTCGTTGATAATATCTGATTTTACATTGATTCTGTTAAACTTTACATTTTAACAGAACAGTTTAACAGAAGTAAGCATTAGCAATTCAACTAATAACAGCAGAGTTTACGCGACCACTGATCATTAATTCGCGAAATACTTTTCACATATTTATATAATGAAACACCGAATTTTGATATTTTTATACATATACAAATATATATTACTCGCGTATAATTAATTTATTCACTACTATTCATACTACGATCGTTGAGAACATCTAATTTTACATTGATTCTGTTAAACTTTACATTTTAATAAAACAGTTTAACAGAAGTAAGCAAGAGCGGTAGAAGTATAAGAAAAACATACATTTGTAAAAAAAACGCTGTAAAGTCTGACTTTTTTGCAATTTATATATGTATAAGACGGCAATTTCTCAATGCCGCTCCAACTTTCTATTTACGGCAAACAATTTTCAACAAGCAACCTCATTCGAGCTGCTGCTTGGCTGTTGCAGAGTGTCTACTTATTTTTGATTTATTTGATATAACTTTAAACACCACTAATTATRTATATTGATTCTAATACGATTTTCACAACATTATTAGCAATAAAAGCACTTTATTTTCAGCAATTTGCAACAAAAAGGGCAAAATTCACCATACCAATATCATTCACTTGTTTTACTTAAAATAATTCACTGGAGCACTGGATTTCATATTACACGCACGTGATATCAATTAAAAAGCAAGCTACAAGCACTTTTTCAGCAATAAATTTAGTAATTAAATCAGATGAAGTTAAAATACCGAAAAGCACGCACCAAACGCAAAATATTTTTCGCGGACTCGTTAAATGTCAAAATATGCATGAAGGAAAAGGAAGCCAAAATGCAGGAAGTAACTAACCAAGTGAGAAAAATTTAAAAACTGTTATTTGTAAATAAAACCTTGTTGGCAAGCAACTAAAAGTGCTAATGAAACTATTTCCACATACAGATTTTAAGTGTTTTAATTTCTATTGAAGTAAAACATATGCATATTTCTTTAGTATTTGTGCATATAAGTTTTTTTTCCAATTTTCCAATATGTTTAGCATTTCATAGTAAAATAAATTCCTGCATATCGTTTCAAACCAACAACTGCTTTCGCTTTCCGAACACTTACCAAACACATATGTCGGATGTGCGGCTGCGGGGAAATCGACAATCTGACAAATGTCTTTCACTATGACAGCAGCAAGTAGTTGTTAAATGAATCATTTACTTTTTGGCATTTGGTGAAGGCAGTGTGGTTCATTGTATTTTCTATATTTACTTACTACAGTTTCAAAGAAATATAACTAATTGCTAGAGGATTACTTATTGTCCAATGCACGCTCATTTGCCGACATTTTCTTGGGCATACGAGTGCTATTTGCGGACAAAAAGAAAAATTTAACATATTTACCATTGGCTGGCTGTCCTTCAATGGCGCTAATCAAATTACAAATTGTTAAAACAACTAAAATGGTTTGAAAATTATTTTAGTTAAATAGCGGAGTAACTGCGTGTTTTACCGGCGTACTATAAGTTTGTGTAGTACAATTAAATAATGTTGATTTCTAATTACTGTCCAATGCACGCTCTTTTGCCGACATTCTCCTGGGTATTCGAGTGCTAATTGCGGACAAAGAGAAAAATGAAACATATTTACCAGTGGTTAGTTGTATTTTAATGGCACTAACCAACTTGAAAAATGTTTCAACATATTAAAGACTAAGGAAAGGAGTTTTTATAATGTGAGGGGCTGTAAACCTCGTTATTAATACATTTAAGAAGCGCTATTTGCAATGGTTGGATAGAGTAGAATTTTAGTGTAGTATTAAGTAAACGTTTATTGCAAAGGAACCTTAAAGCCAAGAGTCGTACAAATGTGCCATGCATACTCATATACAAATGTTATAACTAACAAAAAATGGATGAATCTTTCAAGAGCCATTTTATACCCTTAATTGTAACAAAAATATAATTTTCGTAACAAAGCCACTGCTTTTAGAGCACGTGGTCTGTCAACGTCATTATCAATACCTTACATATAGAACTGCTGGTGACTTCCAACAAATTTTTGTACTTATAAATATGTACATATATACAATATACATATATGTGCGTATAAGTTTTAAATATAAATATCATATGTTTGGAAATTGTRCCGCTGATATTAAATTGAATTGGTCGTTGGGTACAAAATATGGAAGTGTTATGTTTTATCTCTGGTTATGTTAAACGAAATACAAGTCTAGCTTTATAATATCAATAATTGCTATTTTCATGAGAAATAATCTTGGCATGTTTTCAATACGAGCAAAATTGTCTACTGTGGCCCACTGTATCTATGTATATATTTAGACCTTACAATAACGCACGCGGAATCGTCATACGAATATGTACATATGTACATACATATATACACGTGTAAAAATTATCACGACTTTTCTCAACACAAAGACGTTTACCATTGAAAATGACGCTGGAACTAGTGCTCTGCGTAGAATGTTAATTGTTTGTTACGGTGGAATCATAAAACAAACCATAAAGTGACCCACGCAACACAACACATACAGGTAGAATTTCCATTGGTGGCCCCTAGACAAAGCAGCACCCACATTTTGAATGCGATCACGAACAGAGCAATCAGTTAAAAATAAATAAAACAAGATTCAGGTAGGTAAAATGTCAAAGAATTACACTATGGCATGCTCAAAYATACAAATGGTCTGTTTGCTTTGAACACATTCATGCATGCATACAAAGGCACCGTAACAAAATTCGTTAGAACCGCATGCATAGTGCATTTGTGCAGCATGTTGCAAGTAAGAAAATATTCCTGTAGAAAACGCTTCAGTTGGTTACTTGCATTGGCAGCAAGTAGACGGACAAATTGGATAATTCATAGAGGCGGSAAGGAGAACGAAGTGAAATAATTTTTTTTCTGTACACAGTGTAAAAAAATTTAAAAAAAAATGTTTTTATATTACAGAGTAAGTACAAAAAAACCAAATTTTACAAGGCAACGCAAAATTACTAATTAACTAAACTTACTAAAATTACTAATTAAAATAAAAATTAATTGCAGATACTCTGGTTTTTAATTGTCTTGAAGTGGGCCCACACACAACAGATGCCTACAATGCCGTACCCACAACGGTTATATTTCCATAAACTGCAAAAGTATCCCAGCTATAAGATTATAAATGCACAAGAGGCTAGATTGGCAACAACAGAGCCCGCTGGTATAAGCACCGAGCCAGTGGAAGCTGCTACTACTACAAGCACCGTAGCGCCACCAACAAGCATTGACACAGCAAATGGTTCTAGCACCGACGTCACAACTAAACCTGCTACAGCACCACTTGAAATTTCGACAGGTAATACTATTTATACACCTGATGAGTTTCCGCATGATTTGCTTGAAATTGCACGCTCAAAACTCGGCCTAAAGAGCCTTGACGAAGTGCCCAGTATAAGTGAGCTCGCCGAATTTCTTGGCACCGCCAATGCGGCAGAGACCATTAAATATATACGACAAATGACAAACACAGAACAAGGAATCGCGCTGATAAAAGCCTACCTTGAATCGGCCGACTTCACCGATCGCACCGATGAGCAGCGTCGTCGTCAACAAAAACAACAGCAAAAGTCACAGCAGCCGTTAAGTGTAACAGCTACTGTTGACACAAAGAAACACAATTTTCTAGAGCGTGTTGCTGCGTATTTTCATATTTACAACCTATGGCCGCAAAGTGGCAACAAYGATGCYGCTGAAACGCGTAAAAATGTCGARCAACAGCTAAGCAAATACATTAAACCACAGTTGGCGTATAGAAAGCGTATGCAAGCGGTAGCCACACAACAAACGCCCAACAGCATAGCACAACRTAAGCCAATGTTAGTGCGTAATCCCTTACCTTATCACTATCCTGTGCCACTGCGCCCCATTTCCGACAATCGTGTGTTGCATAATGATGCTGTAGTCATGCCAATGGCACCACCGGTGGTATTTTCGCCCGTACATTTGAACACACCTAAATTCTATGTGCCACCACATATWGAACTGGCACGCGCTACCAATATACCACCACAACAATTGCAGACGTTGTTGCAAAGCAAACCAAAACTGGCAGAATTAGCTGCCAAAGTGAGTCGTTTGCCACTGACCAACGACCGTTCCACCCGTATTGATGAACAACTGTTGGTGGCGGTGAAGCGTGCCATCGAACAGGATGATGACTTGCGCAAACTGCTACAAAATACCGCAGCTACACTTAAATAGCTGATTGTAGGCTTTTAATTGTATTTTAGCATAAATTAATTAAGACTATTGAATAAAATTTATAGGGAATTATATATTTTACAAACATTTGTTTTTCATTTTATTATATAATTAAGATAGATTTCTATACCATCGCGAATATGTTATTCGTGTAACGCTTTKCATTTAGTCTTTAAGAAAAACAAGTTAAACTTTCAAAGCACTCATACAAACGCACACTAATCATTGTGAAATGCAAGCGTCTGCGTATACACTTATACATTCCATTGCCTWACTTAATAATTTTATTTTTATAGCTAAATTACATTTTTATTTGTAAATTTTGCGGCTTCAAGTGAACCATTTTAGAGTGTTGAAAAAGTCAATAGAGACATAAGTTAAATTTCATTACTTTTTCAATTAGAAATTTTTTCGGAATTTCATTGGTTATTGGAAAGAAAATATAGCAGTTSAAGGATAGTTTAACAATAGTTGAAATATATAAACAAGGAAGCCATAACATTGCAGACGTAACTCTCTGTTATGTATTCAAAGCTTATATACAACAATTATATGTAATGGAAATCGCCGATTTAGTCTAGAGAAGAAATTTTCTTCACAGATGAAGTAGTTGTTATGAAATTTGGTCTCGAACCACAGTAAAATTAAACAAAAAACAACATATTTATAAGAGCATACTAGTTTTCGGTTGTTTCASRAACTGCAGAGAACTTYCAAGCAGCTTTTTCATTAGTTATTYGTCAAAGTTAGAATCCCCTCATGACTTTGAGACACCAACCAACGCAGGTCGTATACAACGTTCATGCAATTTGTAGCCTAATTTGGTGACAACAACAACAGTGCTGGGCTCGACAGTGGCATCATCCTGCGAAATAATACAATTTTTATTAAAAATTACCATTACTGTTCACATATATACAGTATATAGTAATTTCTACATTACAGTGAAAAATATGTTGACTAAATACAGACCTTTTCGAATAATGCTTCGTGCATATTTGGGTTGAATTTCTCGTTAAGTGGATTGATTGGTTCYAAGCCATGACGTTTGAACACCTGCAACAGTGAAGCTTTAGTCATGGTCAAACCTTCGTATAGGTTCTTCAAATGTGGATTATTATCGTTGAGCTAATGAAGAGAGCGAAATTAAATTTTTAATTTATTATATAATTACATAATTTATTGCATAAGCCCAAAAAAACTTACTTCATCTTTCGGCACCGCGTCTGTGGCATGTCCCAATATATCAGCTACCTCAAGCAGGTCTTTACAAAAGCTCTGTATGCCAAAAACTTTAGCATCAGCTATCTGTTTGGTGAGACGTGTACGCAGATTTTCACTGTCTGCTAGTGAACGTTTGTAYTTATCTAATAATTCATCATTCTTTTCTTTCAAGTCATTCACTTCTTTGGATAGTATTTCAATTTCTTCTGTCAGCTTCTTTGTGGCTTCAGCAACTGCGCCTTCCAACGGATTTGAGCCATCGTTATCTGACTGTTGTGGYTTTTGTGCAGAGTTTTCCGTACTGTAGAAACGCAGCGCTGGCCTATATCAATAAGAAAGTTTTGATTATAAAATAAGGCTCTAAGCGTATACCGATGTCATCGCAAATAATTGTTCTGCAATTTATTGCTTTATTACGTCACAACAATCTTATCACTTTGTCATCACACCTCTACTTTGGCCTACACCACAAACACCCAGCAACACTGCGGCTGCTGGACCGGCGATAATGTGCTTACCTTGTCGCCAACACGTTTTGGCTCTTCACAGCAGCTGCATAACGATTTGCAAGCGTAAACAGCGAAATCGTTTTCCTTGACATTTGTTCTGTTTTGTACTTTATCTTATAATGACAAAGTCGTGCTTTTTATTTTCCTATCGCGTTTTTCAAACACTATTAAATTTTCCTTATTTTACAGAATATTTCTTGTGCAATCCAAATCTGGCAATGAATATTCAACTCTGACAGCTGTAACTGTCAATAAAGAATACAGTGTGCAGCGACCTCTGTTGTTTACAACAGTTGATTGGGCATTACGTTGGCTCTGAAACTGTGTAGTAGAAAAACAGTTCTAATTGCTTTTTATTTATATAGTTCCTTATATTTATTTTAAAATAAATGTGAAATAAAGTGAAAAGCGTAATCTAGTTCTTAAATAAATTATCAGCACGTTGAATGTTTAATTTTCAGCATTAACTGATTTCGTAATGTGTTGTTGCGGCATMCTGAATTCAAATGCTCATTATCATTTGTAAGCAATAATCGATAACACTGTTTAATCTCTTTGTTTTTAAATTGCGTTTCCGGCGGACACCTCTCTATATAAGAATATTATAATATAAAGAACTATATACACATATTATTGTAAGTGCCGTTTTCATATCTATTGACCTTAAGATTTGTGAAAGTTTCTTTAAGAAGCAAAAAGTGTTTTCGGTGCATACTAATTCACAAGCCACTACACCAAACTAATCTGAATAAGACAKTTGGATAAGTTGTGCTATACGATCGGCAAGTGTTTGAAGTCTTCTGCTTATTTGCATTCCTTTCATTTTGCAGGTGGTTTTGCGTGACAACTTGGAAGATCGCTTCAAAGAAGTTCGATAGCCTCAATTTACATATCCTTTGTATGCATTTACATATATTTTTATATTAGCATACATATGCACATATTTTAAAAATAGAAATACACATTTGTATGCAAATTGCTGCACAGCATCACATTCCCAGAAAAGCGCCTGCATAATTGCCACTAACGACTTGAAATATACATAAGTTGTTTTAATCGTGTGCATTAAATTCAAACAACGCGCTCAATAAAATTATGACTAAAAGGAAAATGGTTAAATGAGCTTCTAATCTTTATGGGTGCGCCTTTGAAGTGTTGCTTGYTGTTATGTCTGTGTAGATTTTGTTTAACAAAACGGAACTAATGCTCATTTGAATATAATAAATGGTTTGTGTATGTCATCACGACTGCCATATGTTCATACATATTTATTTYTCCAAGTATGTTGCCGCATTAGCAGCTATTTATACACGTACCTGCGTTTGCAACGGACAACTTAATTATAAATTTTACTTTCATTGCATTAATAATTGCTGTACTGTGGGCTAACCAACTTGCCGCAGGTCGTTGCCAGCTACCTTGATTTTATATTASACGCAAAATACGAGCAAATTCACGCCCCATATGTATATGTATATGTATTTACGTTGGCACTTTCGAGTGGTTGCCTTGAAATTGATGCATATCGTTTGCGGCAACGTGTAAAATTTGCACGTCACTTTGCAAAAAAATTAATAAATTAAGAAAAAAAAAAATAGCTAACTTCGGCTGGACCGAAACTTTAATACACTGCACATGTGCATTTTTCAGAGATTGATAGGGTTTATAAATAAATTTATCTCGATTATTATGGCTCAGTTTATATGAGAGCTATATGCTAGAGTGATTCGATTTGCACAATTTCTTCGAAGATTATGACGTTGTCTTGGACAATATTCTATAGAGAATTTCGTGAAGATATTTTATCAAATAAAAAAGTTTTCCATACAAGAAAATAATTCCGGTCGTTCAATTTGTATAGCAGCTAGATGCTATAAAGGTCCGATAACGTCGGTTCCGACAAATGAGCAGCTTCTTAAGGAGAAAATATCTTGAGCAAATTTTCAGATCGATATCTCTTAAACTGAGTGCCTAGTTCGCGTATATTCAGAAGGACAGAAGGATATGGCTAAATCGACTTAGGTCATACGTTGACCCTTTACAAGTATATATACTTTGTAAGGTCTCCAACGTTTCCTTGTGAGTACTACAAACATCTTAATAAGCTTAATATACCTTGTTTAGGATATAATAAAAATAAAATGCAGTGAAAAATGTGTAGTTTAGCGAATTATGGCATGAATTAGCGAATTTTTTTATTATACTCATTAAAAAATTTACTTTTAAATCATTAAAAACATAATAGCTACTTAAAGTATAGAAAGTGACATTGAAATCGCTTTGAAAACGCACAGGTTACTTGATTTTGACACTGAACTTCGAGCATACGTTGTTCCACTGTTGGCAATACGAGCATGAAAAGTGATACCTACAAAACGCATTTGGYACAGACCCAATCCCTGAAAACCTAGTAGACTAAATGGTTGAATCCAAAGATACGTGGAATGCGGTGTGCGAAATAGCCGAAAAAGTAATGAAACTCCAAAGAGCCCGGGCACAGCAGCGGATAAGAGAATACAAAAATTAAACGAACCACGAGAACGCGGAGGATGGCGTAATGTGTGAGTGAGGAAAGTTCGCTGAGCTCCATTCACTTGGGAGTGACCAGAAACGCTTCTTTTATATATGGCTCAAACTGCTTATGACTTTTGGTCTTAGATCAGATTCGGTAGCCAAAAAACATCAGTTTGAAGGCGAGCTAAAGCGAAAAGCCGAACCATCGCTCCCTAGAGTTGTGCGCTGGGTTTGGAACCCGCCACGTAAAAAACACTACTAATGAAATGAAGAAAACAGTGTTGGTATGGCTCTGGTAGTGAACGAGGGCAAGACGAAATATTTCCTGTCATCAAACAAACAGTAGTCGCTCCCAAGTCATAACATTGAAGTCGTCGATAATTTCGTCTATCTTGGAATCTGTATTAACACCAACAACAATCTCCGCCTTCAAATCCAATGCAGAGTTGCTCTAGCCAAACGGTGCTACTTCGGACTAAGTAGGCAATCGAGAAGTAAAGTCATCCCTCGACAAACAAAGACCAAACTTTATAAGTCGCTTATTATTACACTTGTAATGCTATATGGTACAGAGGCATGGATGATGACAACATCTGATGAGTTGACGTTACGAGTTTTCAAGTGATGTATGGTCCATTGCGTATTGGCAACATCAARCAACACATTCGATGGAACGATGAGCTGTACGAGTTRTACGACGACAATKKCAYAGTTCATCGAATTAAGATAYGCGGCTACGCTGGCTAGGTCATGTCGTCTGAATAGACGAAAACACTCCAACTCGGAGAGTATTCAACGCAGTTCCCCCCAGCGGAAGCTGAGGTCTTCCTCCGCTCCATTGGAGAKATCAGGTGAAGAAGGATCTGGCTGGACTTGGAATCTCAAACTGACGCCAAATTGCGAAAAGAAGAAACGACGCGCGATATATAGATAGAAGATATTGATCATAAGCATAAATAAATTCGTCGAAGGAGTAAGACTCAGCAGTGTAAAATGGCCGTTCGTGCATATCTGTGCAGAGGTCGTTACCGCTTTGGCTGTCTTCTATCCGTAAACCTTCGAAAGGGATCGGTAGGGTTTTCTTCAATCCAATGATCAAATGAACGTCGTGAGACATCACCGTAGTCACTCTCAACTCACCAGCTTGTTAGAGTTTATAGACACACATTGAATTCGTAGGAAAATGCGCCAGATTGAAAATCAACTGTTTCGGCAATTATTTCGGCATCCGTTTCCATCGAACTTCGAACATGCGGATCTTTAGTCCAGTCTAAATTTATAGCAACACCAATCGATGAACTACGTTCTTCCATGAAAAATAGAATGAAACGAATCGCCTATTTAGCAACTAGCAGCAATAACGAATGCCAACAACAACAGCAACAAGGTGAAATGATATTTATGCGCGCACCGATAAGGAGTCTACGTATATATTCACTTGTGGAAACACACGGCAGGTGAGACAGCATTGCACACAAACACATAAACACACACAAGTGCATAAAAATGCGTGTTTTTTATATAGAATTTATGGCTATGAGCCTTAAGTATTTATTTATACACGCGCTATAATGTATGCTTGTATGTATAGTATGTGTGGTTGTACATAGGCGACTCACCGATCGCCACCGCAAATAATGAACGCTCGAACAGGAGGAGGCTTGTTACTTCGCACATTTTCAAGATCAACACCGTTGGCGACGCGAACACAAACCACAACCAGGCAAACTCTGCCGTGTGTGGGGCGGCGCGGGTAGCGGCGGTGCAGTGGTTGGCTGGCGTTGTGATGTTAGCGGCAGCACTGGAAATGCTGCTGACATTGCTGTTGTTTTGCTGTTTGTATGTTGTTGYTTGTTTTCTTGTTGTTGTTAYTTGTTTTTCTTATTGTTGTTGCAATTGTTTTATGCTTATTGTCTTAACTGTTGCTGCTGCCGATCATTGTTATTGTGCTCATTGCTAATGCACGTACTGTTAAAGTTGTTGTTGTTATTGTTGTTTTTGCAACTATTTGCCGCAGCGCCGTCGAACGCTGCGTCCAACAGCGCAAACAAGATCACTGCGCAAGTAGAAAGAAAAAATCACCACATAAAAAAATAAAAATAAAAAAATATAAATTGAGAAAATGTAAATATTTTTTTGTGCTGAATTCAGAATTTTCACAAACACACGGTCATACATATGTACATACAAACATACGTGACGGCGGGTGACTACCGATACGGTTGTACATGCATAATGCAGATTGGCATATATAAACACCTGTCTCTTATACACATCTAGATGTGTATAAGAGACAGGTCATACATATGTACATACAAACATACGTGACGGCGGGTGACTACCGATACGGTTGTACATGCATAATGCAGATTGGCATATATAAACACACACACACACGCAAGCGTATATATTTTCAATGTGGTTCTGTGTGTTTATAGTATTATATGTACAGCTATATATATAAATTCTTACTTATACCCGTGTCTATATGTACATATCTAAGCGATATCTAGAAGACATTGTTGTTATGATCAATGTGGCATTGTTGTTGCCACAGCCGCTGCTGGCGTTAACGCAGTTGCTGGCWTTGTTGTTGTTGTAATTTTKGTTGTTTGTTTGCTTTTGTTGTATTTGTCGTTGTTGTTGTTGTTGATGATATTGTTTTTGTTGTTGTTGCTTTTGCTGCTATTGTTGTTGTTACTACCAGTGCTGTCGCTGTTGT